TACATAAGGATTCTTAATGAGTGAACCTTGATCCTCATTCGAGGACGAATGATCTTAAGTGGGGGGAGGATATAAGGCCCCGTGAAATTTTTACTCAAAAACCCGAAATCTCGTAGTGCCAAGTTAAGGAATAATGTTTTTCTAGAAAAGCACATTTTTACGGTCCATTATGCGGTCGCATAATAGCTATGCGGACCGCATAATCGCCGCAGAGTCAGTCAGTATGCTGGTTAGTTTTGAAGTTAACCATGTGGCCAATTATGCGATTGCATAATCAATATGCGGGCCGCATAGTCATCACATAATCTCCTTGAAAATTTTGCGAGGTGCAGTTTTGCGGTGCATTATGCGACCGCAGAACAGGTATGCGGACCACATTCTTGTCGCATACCCGGGCAGTTTGTTCAGGTTTTGGGGGCCATTTTTGCGATTCCTTTTGTAGGCCACAAGTCAATTATGCGATCGCAGATTGTGTCGGGGCTCCTATTTTCTAACTTTTAAAACCCGACCCCATCCCATTAAAAACTCCCCATTAGACCTCTTTTATGCTATTCTACTACAAATAGAGTGAGAGAGGGAGTTTTAGAGGGGGAAACTAACTCTCACCAAGTAACTACAATCCTTGCCCAATTCTTTGAAGACTTTCAAGTAAAATTTGCTAGGCCTTCATCCTAAGAGGTAAGAACTTGTGCCCTAATCTATGATTTTGAAATTTCTATTAAAATAAGTGATTAACAAGGTCATGGGTATAGGGATTGATTATCTTGCATGCATAAATGATAATGAGGTATAGGGAGATTGTGAGTTAAAAGATAGAAATTGGGGTGTAAGATGATAAAAATCTCTCACAAAAGGGTCCTAAACACACAATGCACACTTAATTCTTGATAATATGCTCAAATGAGCTAGAATCTTAATCATGTCTCTAATTCTTGGTTCATCTTGTAAGTCTCAAATGAGGCAACCTAGCCGACCGGGTTGTGATCAGACTCCGCTCAAGAAAGCGGTGGTATTTTGAATAATGATGAACATTATGAAATGCCCCAAACTAAAGCTATGGAAATAATGTAAAAGTTATATGATTCTTTTATTTGATGATGTGGTGTTCGGTTAAAGCTTTTGATTGTCTCTTGTGATTTCCTTGTTCTTGTATGATAGTTCTTTCTAATAAGATGGTGTTTAGTTATACATACTAGTACTATTCTATGGTACTAACATCCCTTTGCCGGGGGCGCTACATTTTTGAAATGAATGTAGGTGGTTCTATAGCGGACGGTGCTGATCGTAGGTAGCGGAGTATCCTCATCTCAGAAAATCTTGGTGAGACCCTTTTCTTCGAGGGCTTATGCTGCACATCTTTTGTTATAAATTACCACTTTTGAGGTATGGTCGGGGCCTTGTTGTCGGCGTTATCATAACTATCTTTTGTATCCTAAGAGGCTCCGTAGACGATTGTATGGGTTATGTACGAGCATTGGATGGGTCCCTAGACTATGTTGTAATTCCAAACTCTTGTTTTCTCTAAACTGGAACTGTATGAAATCTTGGAAACTTAACCATGGTTTAAGGTTTGTGATATAAAATGAACTAACAATGTTGAATGTACGATCTTTCCTATTGTCTAAATAAACGAAAGCATGGTTTCTTAATTATATTGAGTTGGGTAGAAAGTGTTTAAAAAGTCTTGCTCAGTTGGGTTCACTCGATTGAGCGTCGATCGCTCCTCCCGAGGTTGGGGCGTGACATGTTTCCTTTGGCTATCGTCCCAGTTTGTTCCTAGTTTGTCTTTCCGTGGATCTCTGCTTGCTTCAGTTTTGGCTTTGAGCACGTAGTCCCCTACTTTGAGTGGACATGACCTTTGCTTTCTTATTGTAGTAACGTTCCACTTGCTTCTCTTGGGAGACCATTATTATGTATTCCATATCTCTTTATTTGTCGATCTCATCGAGTTCTTGCCTTCTACTCTCGTCATTACTATTACCGCTTTCGTGAGAGTACCTTAGGCTGGGTTCTCCGACTTCGGCTAGTATGACTGCTTTGTCCCGTAAAACGGAAAGTAGGGCGTCTCCACTATGCTTGCCTTTGGGGTAATTCTATACGCCCATAGTACTTTTGGGAGTACTTCCGGCCACAGTCCCTTAGCGTCTTCGAACTTTTTCTTGATGTTTCATATAGACTTGTTGGAGGATTCTGCCTATCCGTTACCCGCTGGGTTATACGGGGTTGAAAGTATTCTCCTAATATGCCATTTCTCAAAGAAATCGACGGTTTTCTTTCCCGTGAACCGGGGTCTGTTATCACAGCTGATCTCTTTGGGTAGGCCGAATCGGCAGATGATGTTTGTTCATATGAAGCTGATTACCTCTTGTTCGCGTATTTGGGCGAACGCTCCTACTTCCACCCATTTAGAGAAATAGTCAGTTAATAGTAAAAGAAACCATACGTTACCTCGCCCTGGTGGAAATGTTCGCCTGCTTAGTGAATTATTGGGGCATATTTTTGGCATTGCTCGCATTTCTTCATAACTCCGGGCATCTTTTTTCATAGTGGGCCAGTAGTATCCTGCCCTTATAAGACACCTAACGAGTGATGGCCTTCATGGACTTCTTTGAAGGACGCGTTGGGTTTGGTTTAGGCCTAAACATTTTGCTAGAGGGCCGCCATATGTTCTCTTGTATGGATCGCTGTGGAGGAGGTTGTATTTGGCTGCCTGCATTTTTAGGTTTTTGGCTTCCTTCTTATCGTTTAGGAGTGTGCCATTCTACAAGTAGGTGATAATACGATTGCGCCAATCCCCAGGTTAAATTTACAGATCTTACCTCAATTTGGTCTAGCGACGAGTTAAGGAAGTAGACTACACTTTTATCCCTGGTCGTGAGGCTTTTGGTGGCTGCGTCCAATTTGGCAAAGCTGTCCGCTTCAACATTCTATGCACGCAGGATCTAGTCGAGCTGGCATTCGTCAAACTTGGGCAACAACTTACCAATCTCAGTCTGATATTTTTGCAACCTTTGTTATTTGATTTGGAAAGTCCCTGTGCTTGGTTGACTATGAGCTAGGAATCACAATGGAGTTTTAATCGCGTCGCCCCATACTTGAGTGCTAGTCTCAATCCTGTAATTACAGCCTCACACTCGGCCTCGTTGTTAGTCATATTTGGGCATATTATGGATTGGCAAATTACTTAGTCGGTAGGGACCTCGAGTACGAGTCCCAATCTGAATCCGGAAGCGTTGGATACGCCATCATTGTACAGGACCCATAGGTCTTGTGTTTGGAGAGAAGCTTGGACAGCTTCGTTCTCGACCTTAGGCGTTATCTTTGAGCTGAAGTCTGCAACGAAGTCGGCAAGCACTTGCGATTTTATCGCTGTTCGCGGCTGATATATGATACTCACTTAGCTCGATGGCCCACTTGGATAGCCTCCCCGATAATTTAGGTTTATGCAAAATGCCTCTTAGAGGAAAGGTGGTAACGACTGAGATAAGGTGGTACTGGAAATATGGTCTAAGCTTTTGTGAAGCTATGACGAGTTCCAGGGCCAGTTCTCGAGGTGTGGGTACCTCGTCTCTGAGTCAACGAGTGTTTTGCTAATATAATAAATAAGATATTGCATACCCTTACTTTCTCGGATCATGACTGCACTTACTGCCGCTTCGGAGACAGCTAGGTAGACGAGGAGATGTTCTCCGGGTTCGGGCTTTGAGCGCAGATGTGGTGATGACAGATACGCCTTCAGCTCTCGTAGAGCTTGTACGCAGTCGTGCATCTACTCGAGGCCATTATCCTTTTTGAGTATGCCTGAAAAATCTATGACATCTATCAGATGACCGCGATATAATCTCGATAGAGCGGTGATTCGACCAGTCAACCTCTGGACTTGCTTCTTGGTAGTCAGGAGCTCCGATATTTCTTCTATAGCTTTGATTTGGTTTGGGTTGACTTCGATCCCTGGTTGTGACACTAAGAAGCCCAAGAATTTTCCCGAGGCTATGCCAAACACGCATTTCTCTAGGTTTAGTTTCATTCCATACCGTCTCAGTATGTCAAAAGCTTCCTTCAAATGGTTGATATGGTCTTCTGCCTTTACAGATTTGACTAGCATGTCGTCGATGTATACCTCCATGGTTTTGCCGAGCTGATCTTTGAGCATTTTCGTGACCAATCTTTGATAGGTAGCTCCTGCATTTTTTAGCCCAAATAGCATGACCCTATAACAATATGTTCCTCGGTGGGTGATGAACGTAGTTTTCTCCTGGTCCTCTTCTTCCAGAAGTATCTGGTTATAGCCCGAGTACGCATCCAAAAAACTTAACAGCTCGTGCCTAAATATCGCATTGAAGAGTTGATCGATATATGGTAATGGGAACGAATCCTTCGGGCATGTTTTGTTTAAGTCTGTAAAGTTTATATACATCCTCCATATCCCATTTTTCTTTTTGACCTTCACTACGCTGGCGATCCACTTGGGGTATTTCGACTCATGATGGAGCCATTTTCTAATAATTTATCCACCTCCTCTTGGACGACATCGTTGATGGCGGGATTGCATTTTCGTCTGACCTGCCTTACCGGGGGTAGAATGGATGTACGTTTAATTTGTGTGTGGAGATCTCCTTGGGATGCCCGACATATCTGCACACTGAATGCAAACAAAGATGCATTAGTTATTAAGAATTGACTAAATTTACCTGGCTGATGTAGGCCTTTTTGCTGTAGTCGCTGGGATCTAATTGAACAGGGTTGAGGTCCTCTATAATCGAGTCTGCGGCTTCAACCGTTTCGGGATCCATGATGACGGTCCTGGTCTCTTTTTGTGTCGACCTCAGCCCTTTTGATTGCTATGCCTATTTTTCCTTGTCTTTCTTCTGTTGGATTGTCGTGTTGTCTAAGGCAATGTGGTAGCATTCTCGGGATGTGCGTTGTTCTCCCCGTATGCTGAATATCCCCCAAGGTATTGGGAATTTGATTACTTGGTATAAGTTAGAGGGGATAGGCTCTCATGGGATGTATCTATGGTCGTCTACTATGGCATTGTATGTGGTGGCCTGGTCCATGATGTAAAATGCCGTCTCCAGTATTATACCTCCGACCAATATGGAGAGTATAATTTCTCCCGATGTCCATTCAACTGCATTATTAAAACCAATTAGTGTGATGCAGCATGGCATTATCTTGTCCTCAACTCTTATCCGGGTGAGGACTCGGGGATGGATAATGCACCCTCCACTCCTATCATCCACCATGATACGTTTGACATCAGTATCTAATATGCGCAAAGTAATGACAAGAGCATCATTGTGAGAGAAAGTCAAACTGTCGACATCTGACTCGTCGAAGATGATAATTTCTTCGAATCTGTCATACCCTTCATGGGTGATAGATATTTTGAGCTTGTGAGTGGTAGTGAATTTAACACTATTGATGGAGGCGTCATCGCTGCCGCCAATGATCATGTTGATAGTACGAGCTGGTGATGGTGGCTTTGGCGAAACTTGGCGTTCACGTCCTCTAGAGAAGTTGTTTTTCCCCTTGTTGCTCAGCATCTCTTTGAGGTGTCCTTGCTGCAACATGTTCACAACCTCTTGCCTGAGGGTGATGCAGTCTTCTGTCTTGTGTCCGGGCTCCTAGTGGAATTCGCAGAGGGCGTCAGATTTTCTAGTGCTCGGATCGGACCTCATCTTTGGCGGCCGCTTCACCTTCGTTCCGAGTTACTCCAGGACATAGACTATTTCTGTATGTGACACAAAAAAATTGTGAGCATATAATAAGGGGGAATACCTCTCTTGTTCCGGTGAGTCCCCGTTCTTGGCTTGGATGGACCTTCATCATAGCGGAAAGAAGGCGGGATAGGGGCACTGACGTATGGCTGATGTCGTTCCCTGTTGAGTCGTGAGACTGGGTGATACATCCTTATATTATCTCTTCGTTCTTTCCTGGGCTTGGCTTTTACCGAGACGAGTCATCGAGTTGGTATGTTGAGGTCGTCGTCATCTGCTCGGACTTCGGCATAGTAAGCATTGTGGATTTCATCCCAAGTGGTTGGAGGATACTTCATCAACTAGCTCAGCAATTTGCTAGTTGCTCTTGAGCCCTCTCTACTCAACCTGTTCTGAAAGGCTGCGACTGCCATCCACTCGGACACATTTGGTAGGGTCATCCTTACCTTGTTGAATCGAGCGAGGAAGTCCCTCATTCCCTCTCCTAATGATTGCTTGATGGTGAAGATGTCGTTTACTCTTGTTTCGGCTTTCTATGGAACAGGCTGGTAGCTGTGAGTACCATGTTATTGCCCCCTCCCGTAAGGGTTTCGCCGAATTTCTTCAGCAAAATAGAGGACACTTGTTCATTGTTGAGGTCATTGCCTTTCCCAGTGGTGACATAATGAGTCACGTGATCTTCAGGATCAGTTGTTCAGTCGTATATCCTGAGATACAGTGGCATTTTGAAGGTCTTTGGTATGGCATGTGGGGTTGCTTCTTCATTGTACGACTACTATATGAATCTTCCAGCGTCCCTCTTTGGCAGTAACTTGGGGGCGCCCGGTATCTTGTCAACTCGTTCTAGGTGTTCTTTCATTTGATCTCTGAGCGCTTTATTTTCGTTCTCCATTTCTTCTATCCTCTTTAGAACAACGGTGAGGATGTTGTCACATGCATTGTTAGTAACATTGTGAGTTATACCTGGTGTTGGTGAGTCTGATTGGTCGCTCTGTTCATATGCCCTTTACACTGCATGTGCTATTGCGGTCTCTGTAGTCATGCATGGAGTAGGTTTGTTGAGTACGCTTACTAGCGTATCGGTCAACCACACTTCGAGGAGCTATTTCATGGCTGGTGGCATTCCTTCTCCTGTGGACGTGGAGACCTTTTTCCATGTGGTTTTGTTATGCTGCAATGAGGGGAGGAGACCCCTTGCACCTGGGAGAGACAGTGGGTATCACGTCATCACCTAGCATTTCGCAGCTCTCGTTGATAGTATTCATGAGGTTTCCAGGGAAGTCACCTGTTACTTTAGTTCTATCTCCTTGGTTACCTGCCATGTAGGTTTATGCGCAGAGAAAAAGAAAAATATCGGGTTTGTTAGGTTAGTGACTCACGTGAGTTGTATATCTAAAGGAAACTAAAACATTAGTTAAAAAGTCCCCACAAATGGCACCAAACTGCTTGACCAAAAATACAAATATTGGTGCAACCAATTATATTTAAATAAAGAAGAGTCAATTTTAGCTAATAATAATATCCAAAAGATAAGGTTATCTGTTTATGGCAGATAATATGTATATTTGACTGAATGGTAATGAATGTGAGCAATAATAACAGTTTTCAATAATCCAATAAAGATGGAAGATAGCATTAAGTAGTAATAAATAGCAATGAGTGACACCTGTGTAAATAAAAACGTATGAGTCACCTGAAAAGGGGTGGGATCCGTGGATATTCTCCCTAACAATAAAGAAAATTGATGAGCCTTAGAACACTCAGGTTGTTCTTGGATCAAGTGGAAAAACTAGACAAGAATCTTAGTAAAAAGGTTATTTTTGTATGCTTTAATATGGTTAGATTTTCTATAAAGTCAACATGTTTTCTTACAAGTGAATATCTGATGTCCCTATCATTGTGTCTCTTCTATTTATAAGGAACATATTCTTAGAAACCCTAATAGTACAAGTGCAAAGAATATCCACTAGAATATTCTCTTTGGTGCCCTTATTTTAAAACTAGTCGTTATATCTCTGTCTAGGATGTTCGACCTCGATGTTGATCTACGACAATTTTTTGACCTTGATCCTTAATAACTCTTCGACCGCAACCTTCATCGTTTCTGGAACCACTTCGACCTTGGGTAGGTCTTTAACTCTTTATTGAAGTCGTATTGGTGAAACATGGCAGTCTAGGAATGCCTCTTAATGTTAACATGATTTGATTATATTAGAGATAATTTTTGACTCATACAGGCATACTACACCCTGATAACGATACAGAAAATATGTTTGCATGCCAAACCTACAGATGAACAGAAAATAACAGCACAAATTGCACTTTTATTAGCACTTCCTGATAGCGAAGCATCATTACGGAACAAGTGAGGCAACTGCCTTGGATAATTAACTAAACTTAATTAAAAATATTTTCTTTTAATGTAGCACTTAAATAATTAATTAATATAATTTAACGTAAGTAAATTTTATTACAATTATCCTATCCTATTTTAGGGAAAATTTTATTCCTATACACTATATGAAACTTTATTACAAAAAATGTCCCTGTTTTTAAAATTACCCGACCTGGACACAGTTTTCCTACATAATCTGTACAAATTATTTAAAAAGGAATCCTTTCTGCTGTAACATTCCTTTTTAGGAGCAATAATTTGGGATAGTAAGGGATTCTACCTAGATTTTTTGAAACGTATTACTCGCCATTAATTAGGCCTGAAATTATTCTGTTTCTCTCATAATTTTGATACTCTGTTTTCCGAATACTCTGTTTTTCACTGTATATTCTGGTTTCACAGGCAAAATCGAATCAATTATCTACAATTGTACTGAATCACACGCAATAATGTCGAAAATAGCTATTACGCTTAAGCTAAATGGTAATTGGGATAGCTTTGGGAGATACATGGATTTTGAAATCGCCGAGATTGTAATCAGCGAAGATGCAACTTATATAGCCAATTGATTTCTACAATCACAGAGTATCAAATGATTGATACATCAGAAAAAATAATCGAAATCAAGTACATTGTCAATGAAAATTGTCCGCCAATGGAAATTAGGAACAATATGGTAGTTCTAGTATACATGGAGACGAAAAAGGAAAAGAGGAACTTAGGAATGTATCCACTATGTATAACAGTGCAAGATTTTGATTTGGAATGCAGTATGTCTATTTCGAACGAAATTGCAGGTTTGATCTGTTATACCAGTGATGAAATTTGTTTTTATCTCATGCATGCTACAATGTTTCTACAGTATTTCTACAAAAAAACTACATAACATGTGTAGATCAAAATAACTATTGAATTTCATTTGTTTTACAATTTTTCTACAATATTTCTAAATAAAAACTACATAACATGTGTATATCAATTGTTATGAATATGTATGTCCTGGATTTTATTGTTCTACAATTATTCTACAAAATATCTACAACATCTATCATAACACTATTTAGCTTTAATTGATTGCAGGTTCATCTGGAACACTGAAGTTGATTGATATGCCAACATCTGCTAAGATAGTGGAATATAAAAGTATCATCATAAAAGAAAATACACTAACTGTTATTGAAGTAGGCCAAGTATACAAAGACAAGCAAACAATTGCTAGTGCAATAAAGCACTATTATGTTATGAACAAGTTCCAATTTAGGGTGAAAAGGTCTAGTGATAGAAAGTAAGAACAGTTCAATGGTCAAAGATCATGTCTTTTGTATATAAATTGTTAAATATAATATTTTCACTATTAAACAACCTATTTTTTGTGTATCTATATTTTTCATACCATTGTTTAAATTATTTTTATTCTGTAGCTACTGCCTGATATGCGTTGGGGAAGATTGTACATGGCACTTCAAGTCAACCAGCATAAATGATTCAGCAATGTTCAAGGTTCGAAAATTCAACAGCTTGCACAAATGCTCTTTGATGGACAATACCTACATACAACACAAACCTACTTTCATGGTAGTGGGTAGCATAGTTATACCAAAATATGCTGATCCTAAGACAGTTTACACACCAAAAGACATACAAAGTGATATGTTATTTGTACACAGCGTGACCTTAACATACATGCAAGCTTGGAGAGCAAAGGATAAGGCTTTGGAATTTTTGAGAGGTCATCTTGCTGACTCCTATAGTCGATTGCCTAGTTATTTGTATATTCTGGAGAAGACTTACCCGGGGTCGGTAGTTAAATTGAAGAAGACCGACGATAACTGTTTCTTGTATGCATTTGTTGCGATTAGTACGTCAATCAATGGTTGGAAATATTGTAGGCCAGTTGTAGTAGTTGATAGGACCTTCTTGAAGTTAGCATACAGGGAAATAATGCTAACAGTTAGAACAATGGATGCAACAGATATTCTAGATTTATTGTAGATATTTTGTAGAAAATTTGTTGTTTGTATGTATTTTTCTTTATCTACAATTTTATGATGGAAATTGAATTCATTTTTGCCACATATGATACATAGCATATTACCACTGGCATATGTTGTTGTTGATTCAGAAAATGAGGCATCATGGAAGTGATTTTTTGAGCAATTCAAACATGCATATGGTGAAAGACCAAATATGTGTGTTGTTTCTAATCGGAATGAGAGTATCTTGAAGGCAACATCTATTGTTTATACCGGCATGTCATATTATTCTTGCATGTAGCATATTTGGACAAATATAAGGTCAAAGTTCAAGAAAGGCCATCTAAAGTTAAGCGAATTGTACTTTGACACAGCACGATCATACACGCTTGATGAATATGAAAGAATGTCAAAGATTGAAGAGATCGACACACGTGTTAAAGTATACTTATACGATATTGGCTATCATAGATGGTCTCGAGTACATGCTACGGTGAGCAGAACTTGGACTATGACATCAAACATTGCAGAGTCATTGAATGCGGTAACAAAAGATGCAAGAGAACTGCCGATAGTAGAACTATTAGAGTACATGATGACTCTTCTTGAACACTTGACTAATGAAAAGTTATTGAAAGCAAAGGGTACATTCACATACCTTGGGTTTAAACTCAACAAAGAGTTGGAGGACAACAGAACATTGTCGCAGAATCTTAAAGTAAGTTATATCCAATAACATCTGATCAATTATTGCATCAAACTAAAATATTAACAGATATTGTAGATAAATTATTGAATAATTATAGTTATTTTGTATATGTTGCTGATAATTTGTTGTGTGTTTGTAATATAATTGTAGGTGAGGGTTTGAATAGATTACATCCATACAGTGCTAGATGGTGTGAGACGCTATATTGTTTGTCTTGAAAACAAGAGATGTAGTTGTGGACAATTCCAGCTTGATGAACTTCCTTGTCCACATGCTTTGGCTGCTTTAAGGCACAGGGATGAGTCTTATGAAAAATATTTTTCTCCTTATTACACGAGGGAGAACCTCTTGCATATTTATGAAATACCAGTAGACCCGTTGCTTGATGAAAGCAAATGGAATGTGCCACAACATATAGCTGAAGAAGTTGTAAATCCACCTACCGAGAAAAGACAGCCAGGGAGACCTCAAAAACAAAGATACAAAACACATGATGAAGTAAAGGCAAAGAAGTACAAGGTTTCATGTGGCAACTGTGGAATAAAAGGGCATAACAAAAGATCTTGCAAGAATGCTCCCAAGAAGAAATAAAATTTGATATAGTCAACAGATTTTCTGATAAAAGTGTTGAGGTGTTCAGGAGAATTATAGTTGAGGTGTAATTGTGTTGGTAAATTGAGTAAAGACCGTTTCCTACAAAGAAAAGTTTTCAACTCTTAATCTAGTTGGTTTGAATTTATTTTGTTTGATTACTGAGTGTATTGAGTTTTGACTTTCATAACTTGATTGGATTATGAATGATTTATATCTATGGTACACAATTACGTAATTATCTATATCACGAATCATTAGTGAACAATGACAATTACAAATTATCTACAAAATAACTACATAATCTGGCATTTGACAGAATAACTACATAATAATTAAGTTCTAAAGGAGTTTTATGCTAACATTAATGAGATCAAGTACTAATAACTTTCAACGAATTAAGATAAAATTAACAGAATGTTTCCTAATGTTAGCACTAGTATCCTGGATAAAATAACAAAACATAGGGTAAAATAACTGTAGCACAAATCTGCTACAATTAAACTTCAACAAACTTGCTCATAAGTAACAATTTATTTATAAACTTTCTACAAAATCAAGTGTAACTAAACAATTTAACTACATTTTCCCCACAGAAAATGGCAACTAATTCATCTTCTTCCAGACTTGTGTTATCTCGTTCACAACTGGTAAAAATAAATAATAAAACAAACGGTAACAACAAAAAATAAAAGTAGTGCAATAAAATACTAATAATTTTGAACCAAAAAAGGATCTTCATAGTATTTTCGATTTAAAGTAGCAATTTCATGGACAAAAATAACAAAACTAAAGGTAAAACAATTGTAGTACAAATCTGCTACAAATATGTTTCAACTTACTTTTTCTAAGGTAACATATTGTCTACAACTTTACTACAAACCCACTACACCTACACATTTTAACTACAATTTTACTACAAAATAGGGAAACTAAGTCTTCTTCTTCTTCTTCTTCTTCTTCTTCTTCTTCTTCTTCTTCTTCTTCTTCTTCTTCTTCTTCTTCTTCTTCTTCTTCTTCTTCTTCTTCTTCTTCTTCTTCTTCTTCTTCTTCTTCTTCTTCTTCTTCTTCTTCTTCTTCTTCTTCTTCTTCTTCTTCTTCTTCTTCTTCTTCTTCTTCTTCTTCTTCTTCTGGAGTTGTGTTCTCTCATTTGGAGCTGGTGGACCTTTTCTTCTTGCTAATCTGCCAGTCACATCACTCTCACTAATTACACCAATGTCTCACTTTTTCCTACCAAAATTCCAAAGTAGAGCTCCATAGCGTCTACAATGTTGATCAATATCATAAAGGTCTTCCTTTGAAATGAATAGCTCTTCAATGCTGATATATTCAGCAAATACATCAACGTATACACCACAGTCACTACAAAATAGAAATTAGGGGAAAAAAGATTTAGCGTTCAGCAATTGAATAAAATCTGTTAAATAAATAGAAGGAAAAAGCAACTTTTTCATACACTGAACCCTCTTTTTGCTGGGGTATCTCACCGACTAACCACTGAATGTCAAGAGGGTCAGTAACACCTTTTTCGATGTATGACTTTGTGTTCTTATAGTTGATGTCTGGACGCTTGCCATAGAAGCCGGTGGATGACAAGTATAGGGGGATCATTGTTGCAAATTTGTTGACAACAGATTCAACAATGTTGTGATTGTATGAAGAGACCATAGAATCATAAACATATAGAACCCTTTCGGTAATGTCAAAAATAGCCAACACCCAATGAAATTTTTCCACAATATTTATAGGCATAATCACAAATTTAACTTGATCCCATGCAACATTTGCAAGTAGCATGTACCCCAATATGTATTCTACTACGACGTCCTGGGATTTGACAACAACTAGCTTCTTATCATCAGGAGCATTAATGTATTTTTCATAAATTTGTTCAATTCTAGTCTTGAAAATACAGTCAGTAGTTGTAAAACGTGTTTTGTTCACAGGACCATACTTTCCCCTCTTCCACAAATAGTATAAAATAACATCAATGTGCTGCAATAAAAAAATAGAGTTCATTATTTCTTAATGCTTCAAACAAATTAACTACAATTTTTAAACAAAAAAACTACAATATCCTCCAATAATATAACACCCCAGCTAATCATTTCATTCTGCCAGGGTATGTGTTTACCGTTTGGTTGAGGACTTGTCCAGGATGTGCTAAAGTGTAAAACCACTTCTTTTTATCAACTTTGTCCACTCCAAGATCATACCACGGCTTAAGCTGGTAATATTTTATTGAATAAGGCGCCTTCCTCCTATTTAAACACATAGAAATTACAATAAATATGTAGATTGAGGTGGATATCCAAAAGATGAATACACCCAGAAATATGAACAAATTGTATAAACTAACCTCTTTAAAGCTGTATTGGTACCAAGGTACAACCACTTATTGAATTCTTCTAACAAGTCAGGATTAACATCGTCGCTAATAACCCTAGTAAACGGATGCTTGATTTGAAAAATTGGAGGTCCAACAGAAGTGCTGCCACCAGAACTGTAAAAAGGTAGAAAGGGTGATCGGGCATGCTTTCTAGGCTGGCTTGTTCTTCCTTGATGCACAGGGGTTGTTTCATCTTGGTTAAACTCGCCGAACTTAACAATCTGGGAGAAGTTCTCTAAAAACTCAAAATCATCAAGTGTTACTTCCCTTTTATCATATTTGGAGTCGTCCGAATCACCTATATTAATATACTCGGCTGGTTCACCTCCTTCTTCACAACAATCATCTCCTTCTTTTATAACATTCTCTTCTTCAATGAGAGATCGAATTTTTTTCCCTTTTTCTCATTCTTCTGTTCTCCTTGAATGCTTATTGTATCTTCATGTATTGGAGATTCAATAGGCATAGGTTCCTTCACTGTTACAATAAGTATTTTTAAATTAATCATTTTGTAGAAATTTGTACTAAACACTAACATTTCAGTATACAAATTGTAGTTTAAATGTAGTAATTTTGTTGAAATGATGTCATGGATATGATAACAGCTAAGTTTAGAATGTTCATGTGATGATAACATGTACTAACTCATACCTGCATTCTCTTCATCAATTGCTCCTTCAGAATGAGAATATAAATCATCACGTACATGAACATTCTCATTAATTTCCATGTCATTCACTTGTCCTGTATCTAAGAAACCCATTTGAATCATAATGCACATTAGTTGATACAATTGTAGGCAATATGTAGGTATATTGTAGACATCTACATATATATGTAAATCTGTGTAGATGTACTGTAGGCATAATGCAGATATGTCTAGATGTATTGTAGATATAATGTAGATATATTGTATAAAATGTAGATATGCTGTACATGCTTTTTTACTCTACTGGCATGCGCTGGTTTATCACTACTGCACGGAAAATGTTGATTGTTCTTTTTGTTTGATTGCTCAGCAATTTTGGTAGAACTCCCAACAAACTACAGGCTTTAAATTTGTTAAGATATATACTTTATGGATGATAATATAAATTTAGAGGTGATATAAATTATTCTGTTAAATGAATATATTTCAAATATTACCCTGGCATCAATGTTATCCTTTTGACTGTTTATCGCCTATAAAACAACCTTGATTGAATCATTGAGTAGCAGTCGAAAGCTACCTAGTTCTTCAAAAACATCTGTCTTGAAAGATCCAAAATCTAAAGAAACCTACATATTAAAATATAAAGAGTTAACGAAAACATTGGCTTAGCAGAAATTAAAGAAACCATCCAAGATTATGCATATATGTTACCTTGTCAACATCTTTTCTTAAAATTTTAATTTCTTTCAGAATATCTATCTTGCCCTATATTCCAATTGACTTCGTGTGTCCTGATGGAGATGCATCATCTTTCGGAGCCTCAGACTTGGTTTCAACTTCTTCAAGTATGTATTCAACTTTATCAAGCAAAGACATTCTAGAATGCTCTTGTGGTGCTTTAATTATGTTGGTGAACTGAGTGAAAAAAGGAAATTAATTTAACTTAGACATAATATGTATAAATGTTGTAGAGGTCCAAATGGAGGGTTCTGATCGACACATAGTCATTCCTGGGGACTACGACTTGCTATCGGACTGTGATCAGGTGGCATCCACTTTTGCCCCTTTGTGTGCTGCCCGTGAGAGCGAGGCACTTAAAGCGATGATTTATACAGAGTTGTCTTGGAGTGTTTTTGGCCTGGCTCTACTGGTAAATGTCTTCTTTTTGTTTCGTCGTTGGATCGGCGTTACTATTATTGGATCATTTGTTCTAACTTTACTTCTCGTGCTAGACCCTCATCATGGAGATTGAGCATGAGCGTCAGGAAAGGAGGAGGACGAACATCTATGGGAAGACGTCTTCCAAGTACCAAGAATATCATACCAAGCATCGGGCGATGGCCGACATCTACAATCAGGATCGCGACTTCCAATTGCTCCGTGAAGGGATCAGGCAGAGGGAGGATCAACTGGCGTGCAAGGTCGAGGTGTTGAAGAAGCAAGATGAGGACCTGATGAAGGCTGTTGCCCGTAGCAGTGAGCTTGAGGCATCCCTCAGAGCCAAGGAAGATGAGCTCGAGCTTAGTAGGGGAGTAGTGGCCGAAAATACCGACCTTCAAGCAAAGGTAGCCAATTTAACTGTCAAAATAGATATGAAAACGATTGAAGTCGATGAACTTAAGGGTGAGTTGAGTGTGAATGTTGATAGATTGGTCCATGTTGAGAGGGAGATGGCGACTGCCATCTCTGAGGCGGCAGTTTTAGAAGATGCCCTCCGTGTTTGTAGGTTAGATGGGGCTAAGGAGATGGAGACGTTTGTGCTTAAGGCACCGGAACTTGAGGGGCGTATTTATGGGTTGGAGGCAGAAATGTACGCATTGAACAAGCAAGTGGATTCTTTGAAAGAGGAAGACGTACGACGATAGTCGCAGCCTTCTACATCTTATGCTCCAGTTGATCCCGTCGTGCCTCGATGTCTATATGAGTTGTGGGTTCACGCCGAGGCTCAGCTCGATGTGT